TCAGTTTACCAAAACGTCAATATTCGTCCACAAAGGGTTAAAACTCGGGATATCCTATGCAAAATGACTGGTTTAGATTTTGTTGTTTAGCAATTATTGATATCTTCGAATTGAATATTCGAAATGATTTTCAAAATAAATAGTTTCACTTCAGTACTATAACGAATGCCTGAAGAAACTGAGAATAATCTATTGTTACAATTTTTATAGGAACTGCATATCAATGGTATTAAACGCTCGGTAGTTCTAGCGTTAACGATGCAAATGAGTGAATATTACACAAGTATCTTCAACTTTTCCTCCTATTTCAACTGTACCGATAGACAAATGGCAGATTTTCTTGGCGTTTCTCGAGAGACTTCGCTCGACGTCGCGTTTTTACACGGCGGACTAGACATATTGCATGAAATGACACGTAAAAGTCTAGAGAGGAGACCGGAGCGGCGCTAAAAGCATCTAAAACGCTACGGAAAGCCCGTGCTTGATCAAATCGAGTTACGGATCTGCTTTTTCCAGCGCTGATGCCGTAACGGAGGGGAAGGAAAGTCCACGACGCAGTTCTGCGCGCCGCTGCTCCGCATTTTTCGTAAAAATGGCGTCTCCCCGGCGGCCAATCGGACTTATTAAATGCAAATTTCTCTACTTTTTCTCCCCCTTCGTTCTTCAAACCCCCATACGCCGGACGCCAGCCGAATTTTCAATTAAATTTGAATTTAATTCAAATGAATTGTTCAGGAGTATAACCTCCGGTTACTAGCCGCGGCCGTCGTCGCGCTACGCGATTATCCTTGTTATATTCGTCTGGAACTGGGACGTGAAACCTTCCACCATTTTGTCGGGAATTAATGTCGGACTTCCTTCTCGCCGTCCGTTTTCCACGGCCTCCGTTTTTCTGTCCCAGTGTCTGAATTATTAAGTAATTACTTGTGACTTATTAATTAGCATTCCCTTTGGCAATTACGCGATCTCGTAGATGGGTATTCGAACTAAGGGTGTCTTGATATATTAATTACAACTGCCAGTAGTGTAGAGAGACATTTCAATGTAACTGAAAGCATTCGAAAATTAGAAATTGGGAAGTTTTAGAAATATTTGATTCTTTGAAATATTCGAATTTTAAAACTGTCAATGTGATTCTTTGAATATCTCGTTTAAATGTTACTTGACATTTCTAAATATTTACACTTTGAATCTTTAAGCCTATTTTGAAATATTTCACTGTTTAAACGTTACTTGCCACTATTAAATATTTGAAGTTTGAAACTTTAAACCTATTTCGAAATATTCAACCTTTTAAATGTTACTTAACGTCTTTAAATACTTAAAATTTATAACTCTAAATTCACTTCCGAATATTTCAATATTTAAACATTACTTAACACCATTAAATGTTTAAACTCTGAAACTTTAAATCTCTTTCTAAATATTTCAATACTTAAACGTTACTTAACGTCTTTGAATATTTAAAATTAAAGCTCTAAATTCACTTCCGAATATTTCAATATTTAAACATTACTTGCCACTATTAAATATTTGAAGTTTGAAACTTTAAACCTATTTCGAAATATTCAACCTTTTAAATGTTACTTAACGTCTATAAATATTTAAAAATTAAAACTCTAAATTCACTTCCGAATATTTCAATATTTAAACATTACTTACCACCATTAAATGCTTAAACTCCGAAACTTTAAATCTTCTTCTAAATATTTCAATGTTTAAACATTACTCGATAAAGACAAACTTTCCCGATAAAGGCACACCGGTAATTAGGAAAATGTGTAAAGTGTTTCGCGATGCTCGCCAAGCTTATATCTCCTCGCGGGTGATCGCGACTGTAATTCATTACGGAGCCCAACCCGCCCGGTCCCCGGAAACTTACGGGGAACTTCTTTCGCGCGAGTCCCGCCCCCGCTCGAACATAATTGCATAATATATTTATCCGTCATACGGAGTGGCTTTTATTGCTGCGAAGCGGCGTTACGCGCGGCGTCCGGGGCGGCTTCAAAGTAAACGCGACGTAAACTTTCCGGCTCGTTTTATAACGAGACGTCAGCTCCCTCGAAGCGGAATCGGAAATTAGAGAAAACTTTCGGAATATCCTGCCGTGGGATTAAATTGAAACGAATTAAAGGTAGCCGTCCGCTTTGCCGAACGCCGCTCGGCCTCGGATCCTAATGAATCTGATCTATTATGAAGATCCCGAACGGAGGCGCAGAATGTTGCCCGAATTCTATAACTAATTAATTCTGGCCTGCTCGGCGAGCGAACGATGGGAGGTGTGCTCTCGATCTCGTCTGAACTCGCCTGCGCGCTTCGGACGGAAGCTGTTTACCTTAACCTGTGAACCCTTAACCCTTTGCACTGAATTCTTTGAAATTAACTCGAAGAAACACAAGTGTATTAAGGAACAAAGCTATTTTGTTTCAATATTTCTCAAATAATATTAAATTTTCTAATTTTGCGTCAAATCAAATGCTGAGAGTCACGTCTCGAGTGCAAAGGGTTAAATAAGAGTATATAAAAATAGCTCTGTATTATACGTAGTATTAAACGATAACCCTTTACGGATGTCGGCATTTCGGTGAGATGAAATGTTCAGATTCGGAAGACTAAGTCGTGGAAGAATTCTAATTAGTCGAACAATAATAGATCAGCGTAGTTTTCTTTCGTTCTATTAATTAAGCGATTGATATAATTTAGCTTCATATGTTGAAGGTTTCGTATGTTTCGAAGAATCTTCCGCAAAGGGTTAATAGTAGCTATATAGCATAGTTATCAATTGAAATTCTGTCACTCGTCGGAATGCAAAATGAAAAGTACATTTGCCCGGGAACTTTTGCACGTCGCTGTACACGGAGCTAATGAAACAGCGAGATAGTAAACTCATTGAGACTACGGAGAGTGGTTCGGGTGCAACGATCGATAAAGATTATCGTGACAGTGGGGAAGCTACGGTGTTGTGCAAAACATCGCCATTCGAATTTACATTCTCCACTAACAACTCCTGAATTTCTTCGAATAACGAACAGGATTCCGGGTAAAACTCCGACCGGAACTCCGAAAAGGGCTTCGTAATCCCGCCAGGTTTACAACCTCAATAAACCATTATCTCCGAAAGCATAGCGAAACAACTGGTTACGAACAAACAGGTCAAACAGGGCTCTCGCGGATCGAGGTCAAAATAGGTGCGCCGCTGTCGGTGTATTAAAAGATTCACGTTATCAAAAGTAAAACGGAGCTTCACCTTAACCCTTTGTCGTACCACATAATGTCACAACTCGCGAGAAAGATCTCTTACGGAAGGAAATGTCACATGATTATTTCGAGTTTGTTTCGACCTTTCTGTGATCTCTATTTGGACCTCTTGCGTAGAAGTGATGTCACTGTTTGTTGGCACATATTATATTACATAAAATATTTATATTATATAAAACGGATCCTATTTAAAAAATTGATATATATTTAAAATATAAAATATAAAATATAAAATATAAAATATAAAATTAAATATATATAAATATTTTATATTATATATTTATATTATATTATATTATATTATATTATATTATATTGTACTATATTATATTATATTATATTATATTATATTATATTATATTATATTGTACTATATTATATTGTACTATATTATATTATATTGTACTATATTATATTGTACTATATTATATTGTATTTATATTACATATTTTTTCCACTTGTCTTCTTGAACATTTCCTAACCAAATATTTTCAAACACTAAAATATTCAATTGCCGAAAGAAACATTGCAAAAGCAAAAATTGGCAGAAAATATTAAATGCTACTTTCATAGTATCCAATAAATAAGTTATTAAGGAAAAATAATTTACTATTATAGTACCTAATAAATTAATATCGAATACTATTTCAATACTACTACCAATTATTACGGCTTAAAGCAATTACGAATGACTATCGCAGGGCAAGGAGCTAACTACCAGTGGAAATCTGCGTTTGAACGCGATACGGGCATTCGCGATCGCTGCGAGGATATAACTTCTCTGGTTTGCGAGCGTTCCCAGGCACAATAGTATCAAGAACCGTGACAGAATCGAACAATCATCCTTGATTCCAGCTCCACGGGGCTCGACGAGCGATAATACCGGCTGACGTTCCCCGAACGGGGACTAATCGTCGCGGAATCAATGTTCCGACGAGAAGAGAGAACGGTCATCATCGATAATACGAAACAAGAATAGCTTTCTTGATTCTCGTGCGTTTACACTGACCGAACGAACCCACTAGAACTGCGAAACAGTCCAATCCATTTTTCTTTACCTTTTCATAGCAATCACAGATTTTTGCGCATAAAAACTACCGCGTAGTGTTCGAATTTACCGCCTTGAATTCCGGATTGAGAGAATTACAACACTTTTAAGATAAACTCGGAGACTTTATTACGTGACGATCAATTCCGCACGCAAGTACAAGTAATGTTCTTTATGCCTTGTGGCAAGATGCGTCTTATATATATATACACGTTCCGGATCAATATAACTTTTAACACATTGTTCACCGGTAGTTTTAAGCAGAAATCTATCTAGTAATCTACGTCACCGGTTATTATTCAGTAATTAACTCTTTGCACTCGAAAGATTTTTACTGGAAATATATATATATATATATATTATATCTCGAATATTTCCAGTAAAAATCTTTCGAGTGCAAAGAGTAAATTACCGAATAATAACCGGTGACGTAGATTACTAGATAGATTTCCGCTTAAAACCACCGGTGAACAAAGTGTTCAAAGTTACATTGATCCGGAACGTGTTCAGCGTTTCACTGAAAATGGCTGTGAACGTACCGATCACGTTTCTCGGACGTATCGGCGCAATCGTCGAAACGGGGGACGAACAATCGTTCGTTCGTTCGTTCGTTCGGTGTAAACGAGCCACGAGATCGTGGTCCCACGAGGGTGAGCCTATATAGAGAGCGAAACAGTCGAAGCGTGGAACTCACCGAACGAGATGAGACCGCTGTTCAGCATCGACAGTTTAATCTGGCTGGGGATGGAGGCGAGCCTGTGCCCCGTATTAAGATGACGCTTCTTCGGCGGTTTCTCCTGCGCCCTAGGCGCGCTCCTGCTCCTGTGACGATGATGGTGCTTCCCGTGCGAGTGGGAATGAGAACCACCGGCGGTCGAAATTGCCCCGGTGCGATCCGAGCCGATACTGCTCAGACCGACCACGCCGCCGGCGGTCGATTGCGTCCGCAACGACGACATTTTCTGTAAACAAATTAGCGGAACGTTAACATTATCATCGATGTCTCCGTTATTTAGAAAATATACTTCTGTTACTGTCGTCACTGTCGAAATTCACGTGGATCAGGAATGATCGTGGAACCATATAAATTTATTAGGTATTTCAAATGGAAACTAAAATTGTATTCAATGAAATAAATCCTCCTTAAATTTTATTGAATTATAATTTAAACCTACAAAATATAAATTTCTTTTATATTACTTATTGATGCTTTGGCGTAACTATACATATTAGAATGAATTAAGGCTATAGAAATTTATTAGGTATTTTAAATAGAAACTAAAATTTTATTCAAAATAAATCCGCAACGACATTTTCTGCAAACAAATTAACGTTAACATTAATATTCTCATCGATGACTCGCTGTTTAGAAAATATACTTCTCTTCCTGTCGTGACCATCGAAATTCACCTGGATCAGGAATGATCGTGGAACCATGCATATTAGAATGAATTAAGACTATAGAATTTTATAAACATTACTTGGTAAATGTTTCAATCGGTTTTCGTTGATCCAATAACACGAATACGAATCCTGATTGTCCATTTCTACATCTACAATTTCCAAAATCTAAATGAATATCAACTTCCCCGGGAACAATAGAGTAAACTGTACAATAAATGACCGTTAAACGAATATTTCCGTAGAAAATCTTCGAGTATCGGTTGAAAAATTTCATTTGCGTGCAACAGTCTACCGCCGTCTCGTGTTTCCGGACGAAGAGTCGAAAGAGAATGTGGACGCACGCGTGTAGTGGCTCTCCTCGCCTCCCTTTCGTCCTGTTTGCCAACTGGCCGAGCTGTTGTCTCTATTCTCTGCCAGCTCGCGTGCTGTTCAGACGCAGCCCTCGCAGTCGGTCAAACGCGAGGCGCTCGTCTCGTTTTAGATCGCCAGGAAACCGACCGCGAAATTTCACGATTTCACGATCGACCGCGATAGATTTCCCGCGTACAACCGGACGTTCATCCCGGAAACGCTTTTCCCGTCTCGCGACCGAGAACTTCAACCCTTTGCGGACGAAGATTCTCTGAATTACACGAAACCATCGACGGATGAAGCTGAATTATGTAACGATTACTTGAACAATAGAAAACTAGGAAACTACGTGCCGATCTCTTGCGATTCCATTAATTAAATCGTTTGTTCATGACTTGGGCTTCCAAATATGAAAATTCCATCTCGTCAGAATGTCGACGTTCGTCCGCAAAGGGTTAATCCCTGATGAGATCAGTTGCAATGGTGACGAAACGTTGGGAATGAATTTCTACTGGGCACGGTTCTCACCAGAGAGCCACAAGAATCAACATGAATCCGTCCTTGAAGAGATTAACCCTTTGCACTCGAGAGGCGCCTTTCAATCGCCATTTCATTCGACCGAACAAAATAATCGAATTTAGAATACAATATAAAATTTTATAGAAATAAACTAGCTGTGTCACTTAATTTATACAAGGTATTTCTTTGTGTTAGTTGCAAGAAATGTCATCGATATTTCCTCTAGTTTCCAATTTTCAATATTCTGCAATGATCGTAGATTTTATTATTCAAACTAGCGCCGACGTCGGAAGAGGAAAGTGTTAATAGTAAAAATCCAAGGTATCTAGTTTCCAATTTTCAATATTCTGCAATGATCGTAGATTTTATTATTGAAACTAACGCCGACATTAAAAGAGAAGATACGTTGGTATCGCGATAATACCAGGAATTCGAAGTGTAACAGTATCGCACGACAAACGAGAAAGATTCAAAAGTATGGAGGCAATTTCGTGGAACATTTCATGGAAGTGTCGGCAATATGTATCGCAACGTGTAGGTGCCTTCACCTTTTTACCGGAGATCCACGGCAACCGCCTCTCGCGCGTTCGAGAAGTTCTGTCGTTACTGTCGTTAAAGCTACAGGAACGAACCCATTAAAATTGTCTGCGGACTTTCCGCGATACGAACATGTTTCCTGCGATTGCAACGATTCAGAAAGAGGAACGCTTTACAATCGCTGCATCTTGTCTCCGTGAATTTCGATGGAAGTTAGTAATGTAGTATCTAGAATTTTTAGCGTAGGTTAAGGTATTTTTAAGAAGAGTGAATGTAAGAATGAGTGCGAGCAAAGGGCAGGCTGTAAAACCTAAGACTAAGATTGCAGGGCCAGCTTTCCAGGGGTGCATCCGAGTGTTTCTGATGAGTTCGAGTGAGAAGAATGCTTCTGGGGGAGAGAATGATTTTTGGGAGAGAATGTCTGTAAGAGAGTGGCGAGAGAAGAGTTGTACTCTTTACGTGTTGTCCGTGTTGTTTCCATATTTTATTAAATACATATATTTATTCCTAGTTCTCGATTACTCAAGATCCACTCGTTCATTATCTATAATATAGTGACACTATAGTAATGCATTGTGCTTAGACTTCCCTGTCTGCCGAGAACTTCGACGCAGGGCGTGGCCCTGTGCAGGATAAAATTTTATTATACGAGCCGGAGGTTGGTTTCGAAAGGGGTTCACCGTGAAATTTCAAGGGAGATGCGGTAGACTTCATCCTCGGATGTCGCGTTGAACAATTAATATTAGATCACTTTTCACTATTCTTGGCGCGGAAGAAGCAACTTCCCGTTGAAGCTATCTTTCTGTAGGTTCGATGAACTTGGCTGTAGGAGTTCTAAGCTCGACTATCGATCGGGTCAAGTGTTAATGTAATATAGAAACTATAAAACACTTTGATCCTCACCGTGGTTAACGGCACGCAAGTTGGGGAGTATGAAAACTTTGAAAACGTTATTAGAAGAAAATGGAAGCACGATAGATACGACGCCGTAGAGATTATCGTTACGTCTGTGATACGGTATCCTTTAAATTATTTTACCGTAGATTTGTTTTCTGTAAGAAAGCAAATATCACTGGAACTACCGTACCAGTCAAAATCACTGCTTTCGATTGTTTTGTTTCGCTATTATTGGTATCTTAAAAGCATTGAATATCTGAAATGATCTTGAAAATAAATAGTTCCACTTGAATACTATATCGAATGAAGAAACTGAAAATAATTTGTATTCACAGGCTGATATTCGTTAATTTTATATTACCTCCGTTTCTTTATAGCCACGAAAAAAGCGGCCTATAGAGGGTTAAACAAATGTTCTGCATAAATTTTGGTATTCATTAAGAACGAAATTCAACGAAGTAACTGTCTCGCTTCGCACGATAATCTTCAAATACATGATTTCATCGAAAACTGATTTTCTTTGAAAATTTTTCTATAATTAAGAGACCTACCGAATAATTAAGTTAATCAATCTGTGATTCGAAGAGTATTCGATATAAAATCGTCCGTCATTAAAGTGAAATTTCGGTCTAGTTAAAGCGCGATTCGAGCCGCGGTAATTTCATGGCGTTAATTAATTCCGCGAGTCTTTGAATAATCGAAGGAAGTTCGTGCAACTTCGCGGTACAGTTTCAGAAGAAGGAAATACAAGAACGAGGTCATCAAACAGAAAATGGCGGCGGCCGGACGTCGTCGTGCCGAACTTCGAACGTATTCTATCAAGGCCCGGCAGCAAGTTTTTAATCAGCCGGCATTAAACTCGTAATGAAAACCGCTGGATGAAATTAGTTCCGCCTTGGTAGCAATTTTTCACCAATTACAGGACGTTTCCTTCGCCGTGCCGGAAGTGCCTCTTCATCTGCCCCTCGTCGTTCAAAGAGCAGATTAATTGCCGCACAATCAAGCGGTAATCGCCGGATGATGAAAAATCAATTAGCACTCCGCTTACGTCCGATTAAACAAAATCATGGTAATGGCGTGTATCGGATGACCGGAATGATTCGGGGCGTATGCGTGTTGTCAGGTGGAAGAAAATGGTAGAATGTTAAAGTGAATATTTCAGAGAATAAAACTATGTAAAACTGTATAAAAGTATATAAAACTATATAAAACTATATAAAAGTATATAAAAGTATATAAAAGTATATAAAACTATATAAAACTATATAAAACTACATAAAAATATATAGAATTATATAAAACTAAATAAAACTATACAAAACTTCAGAAAACTACAGAAAACTATAATAAAACTACATAAAAATATATAGAATTATATAAAACTATATAAAACTATATAAAACTACAGAAAACTATATAAAACTACAGAAAACTATATAAAACTATATAAAACTATATAAAACTAAATAAAAGTAAATAAAACTATATAATACTGTATCATAATAGTTTCGTCGAAAGTACCGAAAGACCGCTTTCAATCGAACGAGAATTTTCATTAAGACTTCAAGTTCCAACGATTCGACAGCTTTAGTATTCCTTCAAACTCCGAGAAACTTTATTCCGCAAATTGGTAGATTTCAGAAGTGAATATTTCAACGAATCAACTGACTTCCCTAACACTATTTCTATCAAAACTATCGAAAGACACATTTTCAAGTTCACGTACGTCATGTACGTTTTCATTAAATTGTATTAAACATTTCTGTAACTAAATTACTTCAATAAATCATATTCCTTCTAAAAAGAATTCTTTCGTTTCTAATCCTCATTCCAAAAAACCGCGCGAATTGTTCTAGTTACCTAACACAGTTCCTCGGCGCCGTTCGTCCTTACGTTTGTCGGCCGGCGGTTCGAATCGCTGGAGGGAACCTTCGGAAAAGGATAACGCGGATAGCTCGATCGCGTTCACGAAATTAGACAGCGTACGCTAGACCGAGTCGAAAAAGGGGAAAAATTGCGAAAGACGCGCGGCGTCGGCCGGTCATCGAAAGATACTTTTGTATCACGTGCAACGTATATTTAGCGGGCTAATAGAGATTTTCCTCTGTTTCCACGAATCGCACTGTCACCGAAAATATCGCTAGAATGGTTACGTAACCGGGGTGAGTCAGTGCGCGTGCTAAGCAGACGCGATAATGTTTTGTTCGGTTTCAAGACATCCGCTCGCTGTCAGCCGTGAGTCTGTACGGTTATT